ATATGATATGCTCAAATCAAATCTCCTCAAGATATAAGGAAAAAAAGGAATAAAATCTAATAGAATAAAATATAATAAACTAATTTATTCTAATAACTAATAATCTGCTAACTATTAGAAATTAAATCTAGGGTTAGGTTTAGAAGACTAATGGGCCTAAAGCCCTTGGCCCAATTAGCCTACTTTCAACACTCTCCCTCAAGCTAGCGAATAGATGTTTATCATTCCTAGCTTGCTAATCATTTCATCAAACTTGATTTTAGCTAGAGGCTTGGTCATCATATTTGCAACTTATTTTCTTGAAGGAATATAAGCTAGACCTATGACTTGTGCTTCAATATTTTCTTTAATAAAGTTCCTATCAATCTCAACATGCTTCGTGCAATCATGTTGAGTAGGATTGTTTGCAATTTTGAGGGCAGTCATGCTGTCACACCAAATTTTGATAGGGACTTTCATTTCCATCCTATGTTCCTTAAGTAGTTGTACAACCCATATACCTTCACAAATCCCAAGAGCTAATGCTCTATATTCAAATTCTACTAAGCTTCTTGAAACTATTGGTTATTTTTTGCTTCTCCAAGTGACCAGATTACCCCACACGAAGATGCAATAGCCTGTTGTAAAGCGCCGTTACATTTTTTGAACCCAAAGTCCTCTTATTTCCATCGATACAGATCTCCACATCCTTCTTATCCCCTTTTGAGAAAAAATAATCCTTTGTCTGGAGTGGTTTTTAAATATCTAAGAATCCTATATACAGCTTCCATATGTTCTTTTTGAGGATTACTTGCAAACTGGCTCACAACTCCTAATGCAAAAGATATATATGGTCTAGTGTAGGATAAATAAATAAGTTTTCCCATTAGTTTTTGGTAACTTTCTTTATTCACAGCTTTCCCATCAAGTTTCACTTCCAAGTTACAATTGAGTTCCATTGGGGTTTCTGTAGCTCTAACTCCTAACATTTCAATCTCTATTAAATCTAGATTATATTTTCTTTGAGATACATTAATGCCTTTTGATGAGTGAGCTACCTCCAAGCCCAAAAAGTACCTCAAATTTTTCAAGGTCTTTAACTTCAAATTCTTTAACTAGTCTTTCTTTCAACTTCATAATCTCTTCATCATTGTTTCCTATTAGCACTATATCATCTACATACACAACTAACATAGTTATTTTTTGACCAAATTGTCTTACAAAAAATGTATGATTAGTCTGACATTGAGTTTACATAATTTATTTTTGTTTTCTAGACCACATAATCCCAAGGGAATCTCCATGTATACTTCCTCCTCCAAGTCCCCATTCAAGAAGGCGTTCTTAACATTCAGCTGATGTAATGGCCAATCCAAGTTAGCAATAAGAGAAAGTAATACATTTATAGTATTTGAATTTAGCCACTAGTGCAAATATCTCTTGATAATCAATGCTGTAGGTTTAAGTAAAACCTTTGGCAACCAATCAAGCTTTATATTTATTAAGGCTGCTATTAGGATTATATTTCTTAATAAGAACCCATTTACTTCTTACAACTGACTTCTCATGAGGTAAATCCACAATCTCTCAAGTTTGATTTTTATCTAAAGCTCTCAACTCTTCATCAATGGCTAATTTCCACTTAAGATTAGATATGGTTTCCTTAAAGGTCTTGGGTATATTCTCACTATCAACAGTAACAACAAAGTTCTTAAATTGAGAATTAAGCTTGTCATAACAAACATAGCTGCCAATGAGATGTCGAGTACAACTTCTTTTACCTTTTCTAAGAGCAACAGGCCACTGAAGATCTTTAGGATTAACCTCAGGTTGAGAATCATGACTTTGCTATGGAATAACAATGGGATCTTTACTATTTGTGTGCTATTCAGCTTGATTCGTCCTTGTTGCATCCAAGTGTGGTTCAAGATTAGGTTCTTGAGAGGTGGTAGGTAGCTGTTCTGGACTAGGAGGATGATTATACACAGGTTTAGATTGGATAGGCTATGTTTCAGATCCAATCATAGGTGAATCAAGGTCGGGTAAAGCTGTTTCAAGTTCTAAAACAATGGGGACATAATTTGTATTGTTAGAAAGTTGACAAGAATCAATAGAGAACGGGTCTAGTGATATTTAAGGACCAATATGAGGACTAATACTAGAGCTGCTAGTTTGTGGGTTGTTATTGAAATGACCATCACCATTATCTATGGCACAAATTAACCATTCACTATCACTCTCCCCGTGAATGGGTAATTTGGAATAGAATGGTAATGATTCAACAAACTTAACATTCATAGTGACATAGAACTTATGAGTTTCAAGAGAATAACACTTATATCCCTCTTTTGTAGAGGAACATCCCAAGAAAATGCACTTGAGGGATCGAGGTTGAAACTTACCACCTTCATCATTAAACACAAAGATAGTACACAAAGATAGTATGCCCAAAAACTTTTATAGGAAGGGAGTTAACCAAATGAGAGTTAGGAAAGATATCAAAAACATATTAATGGGAGTTTGAAAATTTGAAACCTTGGATGGCATGCGGTTGATGAGATATGTAGCTGTAAGGATTACATCTCCTTAAAATCTGTGGCACATTATTCCTAGCAAGAGTGGCCTAGCAACTTCTATAAGGTCTATTTTTTTCTCTTGGCCACCCCATTCTATTGAGGAGAATGAACACAAGATGTCTGGAAGTGGATTCCATTTTCAACAACAAAGTTTCAAAAATTTAAATTGATATATTCAGTTCTATTGTCACTATAAAGGACTTTTATAGAAGTTTGAAATTGGTTGTGAACAAAGATATAGAAGTTCTTAAACATAGCACAAACTTCATATTTATCTTTCATTAAAAATAGCCATATTAGATGAATATGATCATCAATAAAAGTGACAAACTACTTGGCCTCAGAATTAGTTTCAATCCTAGAAGAACCCCAAACATTACTATGGATTAAAGCAAAAAGTTTGGTGTGAGTAAAAGAAGTCGAAGGGAAAAAAGTACGAGTTTGCTTAGCAAATTGACAAGTGTCACAATGAAATCTACTTTTATTCATGGAATCGGGAAACAAGATTTTCATATAATCAAAAACTTGAATGACCTAGTTTAAAATGCCATAGCATAATGTCATCTTGAGACATAATAGAAAAACTGGAAACAAAATTGTAAGTAAAATCAGCCAAACAACTTTTGTTGGTGAGGTTCCCTTTAAGGTAATAGAGCCCATTGTATTTCTTAGTATTGTCAATCATCTTTCCCAATAGTGAAATTTATCAAAGATGGCAAGGCAATTTAGGTGAGAGGTCATACATTTGACTGACAACAAGTTACATTGAATATCAAGCACATATAAAACATGGATTAAAGTATAAATCTACTTTTAAAGTTTTTTTTAGGTGCAATTAGTATCTTAAAATATTTAAAAGCATGATTTTACCCCTAATATTTTAAAAATGATACAATTTTGCCTTATCTAACAATTTGATTATGTTGACCGTAAGTGTTGATGTGACATCCATGTTACATTTACTCTCCTCTCTTTCCTCTTTCTTCACTTACCTAGCTTTGCACACTTCATCCTCTCTTCTTCTTCACTCATCTTCCCTAAAACAAAGCATCCACCATTAACTATTTAATAATATCCAGGCAAGAATACAAATAACAAAACACGTTAAATATTTAATAATATCCAGCCAATAATACAAACAACAAAACACGTGAGTATACAGGCATCCATACAAATCAGAACAACTGAAAAGGTTGCAGAGCAGTAAAAAAATTTAGAGCAAACATAGGGCTACTTATGGGGAAATTGATATCAAAATCATAACTCAACAAACAATTCGTCAATTTAAAATCAAAATTGATACGGAACAAACAAATCATTACAATAAAAAAAAATCCAATAAACAATTTGTTGATTTGAAAACAAAAGCGATTTGATATGAAAGAAACAAATTGTGAAAATCAAAATCAAAGTAGAGTAAAAATCAAATCGCCACAAGCTTGCCATTCTTTACCCAAGGGAACGACGATGAGGAGGAAGACGAAAGTTTTTGCTATGTGCCGTTGACAATCAAACCTTAACTCTGAGCACAGCAACCACTTGAGCCCACTACCTCAGCCTTCGCTACACCATCTGTGGATTGTCCCCTTCACCATTACAATCACACCCCAAAACACAAAATCAGATTCATCCATTGCTGTCAGATTAATCTATAGTCAAATTCAAAAACGATAACTAAGAAAGATATGTGGGTTGTGTACCTAGATCAAAAACGGAGGTGTGGGAATTGTCAAGAGGAGAGGGATTATCAGAATTGGATGACGGCGTAGCGAGGGTTGGCTTATGGTTCTCATCCACGTCCTCATCCGCACTCTTGATGCGTCGATTCTTCTAGTTCCCTTTTCGTCAAAGCCAAGCGTCATCGCGAAAGGCATCTGGCGACCACGATCTTCAACCCAAGTTTTTTAGCCTTCCGTCAGCACTCTGTGGTTTGATTTAGGTTTTATAGCCTCCTATCAATGTTGGCTCAGACGATGATGAGATCTGAGCTTGGTATCCTAACCAGTAACCCCATCTCTGTCTTCATCCTTGTAGTTCCCCTAACTCATTCTCGCAGACCTTTGATCCATTCCTAATTATTGGGTTTGTATGGTTGTTAGGTAGAAGATGAATTAGGAGAGTGAAGGAAGCGATAGGTAGAGTTGGAAGAAGAATTGAGAGAGAGAGAGGGGAGGGGGGGAGAGAGAGAGAGAGGGAGGGCAACAGAAACATGAAAAAGAAGATGAAAGAGGTCGTGGAAGCCACGTGAGCATGCCATGTAAGCAAAATTGGTCAACTAATAGTCAATCATTAGGATCTGTTAATGCAGAGCAAATTTGCACCGTCTTGAAAAATATTAAGATAAAATTGTATCTTTAAATACTTTAAAACACCAAACGTGCCTCCAAAAAAAACTTCGAAGGCAAATTTATATTTTAACCCATGTATAATTTTCAGACACCAAAATCCAAATTAAGGTTTTTCTTTTGAAACGAGTCATCCTGTAACTTGTGGGGGCTTAAATCCCCAAATAATTACATAGAGCATGGCATAAAAAATTCTTGCGAAAGATAAGAGACTGATAGAGGAAGAGTAACAATGCCAAAAACAAGAAAACATGCAAGAAAAGTTTAATTATTTCTAACAAAGAATTTAATTACATCACGGTTCTATCTAGCCCCAACAATTTCCAACACCAAAGATCTAGTTTCTTCAAGGGCTTCATTTCTTCAAAACTCACCAGTGTCAAACATGCCACAGAAGTATCTCATGACTTACCATTCCATGCTTAATTGTAACCAGAAAGCAAGCCCCCCTTAATTGCCATGGTGCCAAGGGTTGTACGACGAGTAAAGCTTCCCTTTTTTCAGCTGTGATGTTGCTTCACAGATCTGGTGTCCTCTAAGAACAAAACTTATCACTTTTGTTGGTTCTTGCTCATATCATTTATCTTAGCCATCTGCAAATTAAGCAGCTCACGCACTCTGCATTTCAGCTGCACAAGAAAAGCAGACTTGTGTTAAGGAATTTTGTTAGATGATATCAGAAACTTTACAATATATATGACCAATGCATGAGTTTGGATGCCCCCAATTCAAGCAATTGAGGGGATCTTTACTTTAATTTCCACTTCTAAATTGTTCACGTTTCATTTGGATCATTTTATGTTTTAATTTTTTTTTTATTCATTATGCTATTTCTTTTTTATTCACAATATTTTACATTTTGCTTCTCGTATAACAAAAAAAGAATCAAAGAAAAATAAAATTAAAAATCTAGATGATTCAAATTTAATGCCTATGATTCAAAATTTGCTACGAAGTAGAGTGAGGATCCTTGATCATGCTGATATAGTGGGTAGAAAACTGACATTATTTCAAGAAGTGACTTTATCCAAGGTAAAAGTTCAAATAATGAAGAAAAATGAGGATGCCCAATATTGACCATCAAAGGTTATTCATATTTTATATCTTACAAAGCATTACCGTACAATTTGTTAAAAGTAGAAATCCCCGTTTGATAGCTTCCGCACATCTTTCATGGCCACTGATGTAGAACAAAGGGGGAAAAGAAGGAAGAAGAAAGAGGAAGAACAAGGGACTTAAAAGGAGAATGAGAGGTAGAAGAAGGACGGAGAAGTAAAGAATTATAGGGAGAAACAGAGAGGAGGGATAGAGAATTGAGGGTAAATAATCCCAGTAATAACTTTTCAAAAGGTCTACAATGCAGTTAATCGTAAAGACTATTTATAGAGACTGAAATAGCATAATAATAACTTAACCTAAAATAAAATAAACTGCGGCTTGTAATAAAAAGTAAAAGAAAAACTGACTTAAACATCAAGTAAAAGAAAGCATAGAATGGAAAACAACCTCAGAAAGCAAAATAAAAATAAATTACTAAAGCATCCAATAAACCTTTCCTAGTTTTCCTAATTTTCCATCAGTAGGGAAGCATATTTCAATAAGGGGAATTACAAGTAAAGGAGTAGTGAAAAGAGAAAACTGAATAATTAATAAGAGAATCTCACCTCATGAAGTCCTTGTTCTGTTTTTACAGAGACATGAATAGCTCCATCAGGTCCTGAAATCCGGTACTTCAACAGCTCAAGCTGTTCAGGATCTGCATATTCTGTGGCATAGATTACTGGAGCCTTTTCCAACAGATCAGATTTGGAAACAACATCAAGCCACAAGTGCTCAGTAAAATTTTCCCTTATTTCTTTGTATATGCTGAACTGCATAAGCAAACATCATAAACTCAGCATTATCTTTTACAAAAGAAAAATAATCAAAAAACTGATCATTTCTTATCATTTATACACTCCAAACTCTCTTAAAATGAAAAGTGAGTGTCCGTGCATGCTTGTTGGTGGGGTGAGAGAGAGTGACGTAAGGCAAAAAGAAAAAAGACACAAGACTAGACCCAAACGTGCAAATTGAATGGATTCTTTTTCGTTCGTTCGTTCGTTTCTTCCTTTCTTTTTTTTTTTTTCCTCTATGTCGCATATGAAATAGATGTACAGGCAATAGTCACCAGTCTATCCAAAAGAACAGTAAGCTTCAGCGACCTAACTATATAATACATAGAGAGCAAGGACAAACACAAAATTTGCAGATCTTAGTGGCATAAGCTTAGCTCCCTTCAGTTTTACTTGGACACTGTTTATTCTCAAGTGGGTATCATCATTTTAGTTAACAACCTCCTTAACAAATGAGTAGAGGGATACCTTTTTTAAGAATATCTCGTTGTCAATCACATTCTCTTCATAAAGATCTTATAAGTTTTGGTCTCAAATTCTCTCAATTTCAGTGTATCACCATGACATTTTGGGTGCTTGAAATTCAAGCCGTACCTAATCATGTCACTCTGAGTACTTTTGGATCCTCCATCATCATCATCATAAGCATTTTATTTTAAAAAGTTTGATGTGAACATGGATAGAATGTGAGGGTGCCTACAAACTTTTAACTCTTAATCTAAAACATCTTAGTCCATGAATTTCCAAGATGTGCGAAATGAATTTCCAACTCTTGCATTATTACTTGGAACCCTCCACATTGCCACTGGCATGAAATAAGTTTCACGACACATTGCAATTATTCTAATAATCAAGATGTTGCAGAAGACGGAACCAATAATACCTGATCAGCAGGTGAAGTGCCACACTCCCCAGAAAGGTCATGGACATACAAAATTGCAGTTGGCAAATGTGAAAGGGCAGCAAGTGTCAACTTTTCTAAATTGTTCCTGTCTTCTGAATATACAAACCAGGAAGACACACAGAAAAATCATGTCAAAAGAGAGAACATATCAACGGTACTAAATTCAATATAACTGATTGAGTGGATAACTGAGACTTGACAATTCACCCCAAGAACATGGAAGTTGCTTGTGGGCTTTCAAGGAATCAAGGAGCATTAGCTGTAGCTATAACATCCTACTCCCTCCATTTTAGACACCAGATTAAAGAAAGTAAACCTCCCCCCTGAATTTATTTTTTTTATTTTTTTTTTAAATCTATACTCAGTCCTACGGCAGATCTCCCAACTCAGCGACTCTTCTTCCTATTGCCCTGAGTCACAAAATGTATCCCCTAATCATTTGCATTCATTCCATCTGCTACTGCAACTGGGATCCTAAAGCAAGATTAAATAGTAACAAGAGGCATCCTAGATGCCTGAAGAGTTGCAATAGATTTCACCAACCGAAGGAAAGACAATTCCAAGTTCCAACCATCCATCCACATGGAAATCAAATGAGCTATCAGCTTACCAGAGGGAATCCATTCAAAGACTATCGCAAAAACTCAGATATAGATAACAAATATAAGTTAAAAAAGGCAAGAAATTGACGACCTAAAAATTGATCACAGCCGCTACTCTAAGCCAAATTAATCCTCAAACCAACCAATATATAAAGGACCTGTAATTAAAAAAACAGAAAATCTCATAGATACATAACAATAAGCGACTATGAAACTAAAAATTCATCACAGTAATATAGTTTAAGAAAAACAAATGGAAGTTTCATTACCATATTGTCTCTTCAGTAGGCCTGGTGTATCTGTAACCTACAGTTGAATCAGGTATATAATTAGATGGGTAGTGAAAGAAAAACCATTGAAAAAAAAAAGAAAGAAAAAACAGGCTAGAGACAATTTTGAACCTGAAACTTGTGATAGTTCAAAACAATATGACCAATAAGAATCCCTCTTGTTGTGAAGGGATAGTTGCAAACCTGAAACGCCAGAGAGAAATCAAAGGATAAATGTTAACATTATATGGCCTGTGGAATCTTAAGTGCAAATGTGGTTTTGCAGCTTTAGCTGAAGTATATTGTGAAAGATAAGAATAGAGCTAATCAACACCTGTAATTAAGAATAGCATACTTTCACTTAAGTACAACAAAATTGTGCAAATGACTTTTTTGGCTTAAGTTCACGAACCATATCAGATATGCCAAACGAAGCACATGTGAACAAGGTAGCAAATAGCCAGGGGATTGATGGAATTGAGACATTTACCCAGCATAACTACTGTCTACTAATTTTTCTTGATTCTGTGTATTTGTCTCTGCCATAATTTTTTCATTCTTTTGCATATAAATGCCATGGACGATACATCAAACATTAAGAAAAGCCTTGTATCTCCTCTGCTTCTTGTTCCCATCTGTTTCTACATCTCCTTATTGTTCCGTTTGCTTTCATTTTTCATGGTGTTAGAGATCAAGAGATATTCTAGTGCTAGAAAATCATGTTTGAATAACAGATTTTATTTCCTTTTTAGTCTAACAATGCCTCCTATTTGCTCTTCCCTTGTACCATCATATCTACTGTTCTTTAATTTTTGAATGCCCTCATTTCATGGGTGGAGTGGCAGGTCATTCGCTGCTATCTTCCCCCTATGTGTACCCTAGTTTTCATGATTGAACCGACAGAACTTGAGTCTTTCATACTCTGAATTAGCAATGTCACTGGAACGAGAAAAATCAAGCAGTCCAAGGACTATTGCATCCTCACTAGTGCTAATACCTATGCCGGGATACCAGAACACACTGCAAAGATCTCTGCTACTATTACTTGATGGTACATTACAAGCCAATTTAGGAGGCAATAAAATATTTCAGCCCGAGGAGTTGTTAATAAAATCTTTTTCCTACCTTTCTTGAAGTAGGTAGCATCAACTACACAAGAATATTTGTGAATCTAACAGAGATTAATTTATTGCTAGAACTCCATAAGTGTGTTGTGGCATTGAATGATCCCCATCTTTCATTGTCTTAAATCATGGATAAGCCCTTCAATCTCAAGTAGCAAGGTGGTATTTTCCATTGAAGAGAACTTCTCCCTCACTGCTTCCTGCATTTATCGTACTCTTCTTAACAATAGAAGGAAATTTTTCCAATATCATTTGTTATGGAATTGATTAATCAGGAAATTATTTGTTGTTTTCAGAATATCAAATCTTAGTTTTTGGGTCATTAACACTGAGAGAAGTACCCATCAAGTAACCAACCTAGCCTTTTCCCTTTACATCAGAACTCTGGATGACCACCGAAGGCAATTACTTCTAAAGAGCCTATGCCCAGTGATGAGAGCAGGAGAGGCCCTGTGCGCTCCTTGGAGCAAAAGTGACCAAATATAACAGAGGGATGATCAGGCATATTGTTGCTCTGAAGTGAAAAATCAGAGTGGAATGACTCTCTGATTCAGCTTACACTCTATAAGAGTTGAAATACATACATACATTCAGGTTGAGAAGTCATACATGAGAATCCATAGAATCAGCATCAGCTAATCAAATTGATTTGAATACAAGATAATATCAATTAAATAAATGGAGATGAGAAGAAAAAAATATACAACGACTAAATTACAGCTAAAACTAGAGGAATAAATAAAATAAAATGTGTGCAGCCATCAGTCACATAAAACACAAGAAAAGAGTGGTAGTCCAGCAAAATCAGGACATTTTTGGCCAAAAAAAAAATCAGAATCATAACATAGCATGAATTATGACAAAAAGAGAGTCAAGGATTCTGTTGTACACCTCAGGCTTTCCAGTAGAGAGTACACGGACCAAGGAAGATTTTCCTACATTAGGAGCTCCAACAAGGCAGAGTGTAGGTGTTTCCAAGCTAATTACAGGCATTGCTCTTAAAGTCTGTAAAGTTTAAAAGTAAATATGCAATGTAGCAGAGGAAACAATTGTTTAAAAGAAATATTCTCAATCCAATGGTTCTCCCAACCTTGGCAATGCCCAACAAATCGTCAACAATTTTCCCTTCTCGATAAAAAATATGTTCAACTTTTTGAATGCCCTGCAATAACTGTAATACATAAGAATCATCATAAAAAATTAGGACAAGATGTTCCAAATAAGATAGAAAGGACACCTCATTCAGTCTTTCCTCCGCTTCTCTCTTTGACGAGGACTGTTACATGAAATAATGATATCAAAATGTTAAGAAAAGGACAGCAAGAGAAAGGACCAAAGTAACAAGATGTCTGTATAAGAGAGATATCAGACTCTTCCATCTTAAGGAATTCAATAATGAGTCCCGGGAGAGAGAGGGAGGTGGGGAGTAAGGCCTTGTGCATGTATTTTTCATGGTGGAGTCTGGACAAGGTAAGCATACTGTAGCTAACCCAGTGAGACTCACATTCTTCCAGGATTTTTACACGTAAATAATATAATTTCTGGAACTGGATCCATCAAATGTAATAAATGATAAAGCTGACTTTTGACCAACCTACAAAACATTAATTTTCTGAAAGAAAGCAACATGCTCAAACAAAAACTAAAACACATATTTAGCCATCATTGCTGCTTTTATAATGAAACAAGGCCATGAAGATATAAATAACGCTTAAACACTTTAGATCAATCATAATATAACAAGAAAAATTCCAGACGTATGTTGAACTTAAAATCAACATCTAGAGTCTAATCCTGTAGAACTTTAAAGTTACTTGATATCCATATAGTTAAAAAATTGATCCTATGCATACAAAACCAAATAAACTTAAATTTCATCATCAGCATACGTGAGTTACTAGACAAACCTTAGCGCAAAGTGAAGCATGTTCCTTGCCAACAGATACTACCTTCTTTCTTAAAGCATCTACCTTTCCCAAGACCTACTAAATAGTATATCCACAGTCAACAGAAGCATGATATTGTACAATGTGATAAAAATGTCTAAAAGAACAAAATTAAAATCCATGGTCATCAAATTTGTACTTAGAGCATTTACAATGGCAATGGAAGTCCAACAACAAATGTTCTAATTGCTGCAAAGCAATTTTCCTTATATACCATTTCATAATATCCATCTCCAAGAGTCAATTCAACAAGAGACCTTTCATAGGGATGAAGATATGTTTTCTTTGGAAAATTCTCCACGTACGTTCTCAAAGGAACAGCCAGTTCCTGAAAAGATCTACCATGTCAAATTTCACCAACTTTTTCTATAAATAGAATATATATGTTGAAACAGACATAGAATAACATGAAATATTTAGAAGTTAAGGACATACTTTCATCAATGCATCAAGTTGCTTTGCACCCCTGTTCTTCTCCCTTTTTGCAGTGTTGGCAATCCCTAGAGTTTAAACAAATTAAAATTAATAACAACAAAAGGTTCAATGATGAAAAACAGGCATTCCAAGATTAAACAAAAGAATATCATTCCAGTCAAAAACCTTTTGTTGGAGGAATTCTCTTTGCCTTTCTTAGTGCTGAACCAATAATATCAACAGATGGCATCACCATGGGTAACTTTTGAAACGCCCCGATGGCTTCTATTTTTCTAGATGGTTTTTCCTACAGTTGAATATTTAAATGGTGACTACAATTTGGTTTGCACAACTACTTTAATTTAACACAGGAAAGAAAGAACAACAAAAATTTGATAGTTACAACAAAACTCACAGATTCAAGATCCTGAGGAGTAGCAAAGAAAACTAAACCGTATACCACACTTGAAAGAATTATAATATCCAATGATATACTCTCTCACACACGTGCCAAAGTAATAAAGAAACAAAAATAAAAGGGGGCAACATCTTGAAAATGAAAATACCCCATTTAACATCCATCATAGATTGCCAAAACATGAGAAAAGAAAGTTGCTATGATTATTATGATTCATCTATGGAAAAATGTCACCCCCACCACTGAACTTCCCAAATATATACATTATTTGATCAAGAGGGGGTAAAAGTAAATTAAAATCCTAGCCTTCTCAATTTCCAGGAAAAATTTTATACATTTCTCACCTAATGAAAGATCACTAGTCTATAGCACTTAGTCACCACAACAATGTGACTAAGATGTGGAAAATAAAAGAGGACAATGTTGTGCAATTGTAATAAATAACAAAGTAATTAAGATTTAATTAGGGTTTAAATAGATTTAGATTTGATTTATGATTTAAATAGAATTTAGATAGGATTTCATATTTAATTATATTATTATTACATTAGAAGGATGTGGAAATATATGATATTTATTGCAAATATTTGGTGTTTATTCCCACAGATATTTACGATCAAATAGGATTAGATTTATTAGGCAAGTTTTGATTTTATTTTTTATCATTGTAAATCTCTTCTTTCTCGGCCCATATCAGGGCTTCCGTACTGTAAATATTCTGTTGACAGCCACTGAATAAAATAAGTTCAATTTTGCTCATTTATCTTTGTGGTATCAGAGCACGAGGAAGAAAGAGCAACTGAATCATCAGAGATGGCAGCGGACTTGAACTCTCAACCTGAAACTCACCAAAGAACAAAGTCGACTAGCTTGGAGGGTTCATCCAGTGTGAGCTCACGTCAATTTGCATCCTTTGTCATTGGCCAAGAGAGCTCGCCCATCTCTCTCGTCTCAAACAAGCACACGGGCATCAACTACGGAGAGTGGGCTCAGTCCATTTGACTTGCAATAGAGGGTCGTGGTAAATGGGGGTACGTTTCCGATGAATCCCATTATCCAGAAGCAACAAATGTCAAGGTTTTTAAATTTTGGAAGACCGAAAAATTCAATGCTGTGCTCATGGTTGGTAAATTCAATGATGCCAGCTGTGAAGAAAAGTTTTTTATTTCTCCCAACAACTCGAGAGACATGGAACGTTGTGAAGGAGGCATACTCTGATGGTGAAAATGCTTCTTAAGTGTTTGAAATTAAATCAAAGCTGTGGCTTGTGAAGCAAGATAATCGTGACCCAAGTGAATATTACCTTGAAAAAACTTCTTTATGACAAGAACTTGATCTGATTACTACTGAGGAATGGACCAGTTCAAAGGACATTGCTCAATTCTGAAAGTGACTTGAGAAAGAACGTCTTTATGAATTGTTAGTAGGACTCAACTCAGGTCTAGATGATGTTTGCATTAGAATTTTGAGTTTAGAACCTTTGCCATCTGTCCATGAAGCCTTTGCAATGATCAGAAGGGAGTACTCACGAAGAAAGGCAATGTTAAAAGATGAATCTATTCCTTGAACTAATACTCTTGAAGCATCAGCATCTACTCTTGCTGTCAAGTCCAATGATCCTAGAAACAATAAAAGGCGTCCCACATGTGAACACTGTAAGAAGGTCGGCCACACAAAGGAAAAATGCTAGGATCTTCATGGTAAACCCCTTGATTGAAAGCCAAGGAAAGGAAGAAGCCATGGATATGTTGCTGAAACCTCTATGGGAGATGACAATTTATAGCCCTCAAATGATCAACTAAGTAAGATTCTTGAGATGCTTTCAGCTCTACAAACTAATAGCAAGCAACCTGTTGCCACTATGGTACAAAGAGGTAATTTTTCTAGAACCTTCACTACTATTAAACAAGTATACACTAGAGACCGTTGGATAATAGACTTAGGTGCTTCAAATCATATGACTAATAATATTAAACTATTTACAACATATGTACCTTGCCAAAAGAAACTTACAATCAAGATTGCAGATGCATCAAAGTCTATTGTTATTGGTATTGGAAGTGTACAAATTTCGTCTACCCTCACTTTACATCATGCTCTTCATGTTCCTAAATTAAAATGTAGTTTACTCTCAATGAGCAAAATTGGCAAAAGATGAGAAATGCCATGATGACTTTTTTGCTACTTATTGTCTTTTCAAGAATCTACTGATGGGGATGATGATTGGTAATACTAAAGAGTTTGACAGTCTCTACTACCTAGATGGAAGTGAAGTTAGCAGTGTTAGGTCACACAATAAAGTGTCTCCCCTAGAATTAGTGAGTTGGAGTTGTGGCACAAATGTCTAGGTCACCCTAATTTCAATTATATGTCAAAAAAGTTTCCTTCAATTTGCAATAAAAGTGATTGTCCTCAATTCTATTGTGATTCTTGCGAAAAAGAAAAACATTACCATGCTTCTTTTCCACGTTAGCCATGCATCCAAACCTTTTACAACCATTCACAGTGATCTATAAGGGCCCTCTCAAGTTCTTAATAGAACTCACTCGAAGTAGTTCGTCACATTTATTGATGATCACTCTAATGTTAGTTGGGTGTTCCTTCTAAAGGACAAATCTTATGCGTTATAGGTGTTCATTGACTTCTATCATATGATTAAAACTCAATTTTACACATCTATTCAAACTCTCCACACTAACAATGGCACGAAATACTTCAACAAACACCTTTCAACCTTTTTACTTTCCAATGGAATTTTACACAAAAGCACTTGCCCCTATAGTCCCTAATAGAATGGTATTGCTGAAAGGAAAAACAGACACATTCTTGAGACAGCACATGCACTTCTCTTCAGTAGCCATGTTCCTAAATATCACTAGGATGTTGTCCTAACAGCAACTTTTCTTATTAATCGTCTCCCAAATTGTACTCCGTCATACAAAACTCCTCTTGAAGTTCTACATCAAACTTACAATCAACCCTACCTGGAAAACAATCTTCCCTTAAAAGTTTTTGGGTGTGCTGCCCACGCTGATCTTTATCATACAAATAAACCTGACCCTAAAGCTGTCCGATGTGTTTTCCTGGGTTATTCTGCCACTAAAAAGGGGTACAAGTGCTTTGACCCTACTACCAAATGTGTCTTTACCCCTTGTGATGTCATGTCACCTTTCATGAAACCGAATCCTTCTACTCCCAATCTACAATTGAGGTGAAAAATTGGAATGAATTGCAGATTGACATGTGTGAAAAAACAAGTGAAACACCTAAAACAACTTACCCTATACCTTACCATTTGTCTGTTGAACTCACAAATCTTGATCTCAACCTAGATAGTGAGATCGACAACACCAACACCACTATTCAAATTGACACAAGTGATGTGCCAAATCCTAGTCCCAAAGAGAAGGAGAAATCTATGACAAGGGGAGACAACAGATTTGCACAGACCTATGCACGAAAAAAACAAGACAAGTAAAGAGATCCATGCTCCAAGCACTAATCAAGAGTCAGAACCAAATGTAGGTCTAAAAGAAGATGATGGTGGTATTGTTGTGGAAGAATCAGGCTGTAATGATGATTTTGATCTGCCTATAGCTATGAGGAAGAAGCCGAACGCCTGCACTAGGCACCCTATCAAAAGATTTGTCTCCTATCAAGCATTGTTTGCTAAATTTTGTGGATTTACTGCTCATTTGGATAATGTTACAGTACCAAAGAATATTGAAGAAGCCATGGCCTTACCTAAATGGAGGCAAGCTGTAATGGAGGAAATGGAGGCATTGACAAAAATGATACATGGGATGTTGTAGAATTACCTCAGGCAAGAAAGCTGTTGGATGAACGTGGTTTTTTACACCTAAATACAATGTTGATGGTAGTCTAAACAAACACAAAGGAAGACTTGTTGCTCAAGGGTTCTCCCAAGTGCATGGTATAAACTACACTGAGACATTTGCACCTATAGCCAAACTTAATACTGTCAAAATAATTCTATCATTAGCAGCCAACCTTGACTGGCAGTTACATCAATTAGATGTAAAAAATGACTTGCTGAATGGTGAGTTGAAAGAAGAAGTATATATGAAGTTGCCTCTTGGGTTCCCAAGGAAGAAACCAAATCAAGTGTGCAAGTTGAAGAAGTCCTTGTATGGATTAAAGCAGTCTCCAAGAGCTTGGTTTGAGAGACTTACACAAGTACTAAAAAAGGCAAGGTTCACACAAGGTCAAAGTGATCACACTATGTTCTTCAAACACCGAGGCACTAAAATTACTATTTTGCTGGTTTATGTGGATAATATTGTTCTTATAGGTGATGATATTGAGGAGATTGAAAACCTTAAAAAGGCGCTAGCTCAAGAATTTCAAATAAAGGGATCTTGGAGAAATGAAGTACTTCCTAGGTAGGGAGGTGGCAAGATCCAAGAAGGTAAACTTGATTTCCTAGAGAAAACATGTGCTAGATCTCTTGAAAGAGACTAGCATGCTTGGATGTAGACCTAGTGATACACCTATCCAAGTTGACAAGACAAGCGATGAAGAGAACCTTAGTAAGTCTATTAATATGGGTAGGTATCAACGTATGGTGGGATAATTGATCTACTTGTCAAATACTAGGCCGAATATTACCTTTGCAGTTAGTACAAGGAGTCAACACTAATATGACCCTAAACAAAAACACTTGAATGAGGTCTACAAAATTCTCAAGTATTAGAAAGGTACTACTGAAAAAGGTCTATGGTTTAAAAAATTTGAGAAACAGAGTGTAGAAATCTTCACAGCTGCAAATTAGGCAAGTGATCATGAGGACAGAAAGTCCACATCTGGATATTGCACTTTTGTTCGGGGAAACTTGGTTACTTGAAAAAGCAAGAAGTAGAGTGTCGCCACTAAAAAAAAGTCATTAAGGAACTAAAAAATGTGAATTTTCCTATGACTCTTTGTTCAAATAGTATGGCAGCAATTAGCATCTCACGCAATCCAGTCCAACATGATAGGACTAAAAATGTTGAGATAGACAAACACTTTATCAGGGAAAAGATTGATACTAGCATCATTCAAATGAGACACATACCAAGAAGGGAGCAAACGGCTGATGTTCTCACCAAAGGTTGAGTAGAGATAAGTTTGATCATTTTATTAGCAAGTTGAACATAATTAACATCTATATTCCAATTTGAGGGGGAGTGTGGAAATATATAATATTTATTGTAAATATTTAGTGATTATTCTCGTAGATATTATATGATCAAATATGATTAGATTTATTAGGGAAGTTTTGATTTTATTTTTTTATCATTGTAAATCCCTTCTTTCTCAGCCCATATCATGGCTTTCCTACTGTATATATTCTGTCAACACCCACTGAATAAAATAAGTTCAATTTTGCTCATTTATCTTCAAAGGATTTGGATAGATTAGGATATATATATATATATATTCATATGATAATAATGCCTATAAATATGAGGCAGTATGGTACCTAATTTCAGAGGCGGCTTCGTCAGTGAGGTAGTGTGAGAGAATTCAATGAATTCTTTGATAGCCACACCAATAGATTAAAATTGCAAGAAAAATATTTGGTTTTTGCGTATGTAGCCGAGCTCAAGCCAAAACTTGTAGAACCGGTGTGCCTCTTCAAACCAAGAACAATGCAAGAAGCCAAAAGTCTTGCATGATTGCAAGAAATCATGTTAATGTGTCAAGTAGGAAAAAAGGCACAGGCACTTCAAGATATTTATGGGTCACAAGCTTTTGGAGAAGGATGAAGGAAGGACACCTCTACAAGAATGTGGGAATCAAGAAGCCAAGAATGGCATCAGAAATCATGGGGATCCTGCAACTATAACAATTGAAGTTGAAATAGGGTCTTCCTTACCATATTGACTCAAGATATGTATTTAGTGCCACAAGAAGGTTCTATCGTTCAAGAAAAGAGTGGGTCTTTTTCGATCAGCACCCAAGAAAATTGTGACAGCATTATCAAAAAGAGCCAAGAACTCCAAGTAATTAACAGTTATGTCAACACAAATTCCTTTAGTCTTGGGATTCTTTCAACCAAGATTCTTAAAAGTTACTGGTTGCAATCTGCCATCTATTCTAAGTTCTCTATTAATGCATGTTCTCCAGACTCAATCACCATTACCCTCTACTTTGCCGATGAGAACGTATATCTCTGCTTCTTCCTTCATGCTGGTGCTCGTTCCTGTTCTGACTTGGCTCAAAGGCAATTTAATTAGGATCCTCTAGGGGTCCAGTTTGATACAATTTTCTGTGTATTTGACCCTTGCAGGCAAGAGTCTTTCGGGGGAGGGGTATGGTTATGTAATTATAATAAATAAGAAAATAATTAAGATTTAATTAGGGGTTTAAATAGATTTGGATATGATTTGTGATTTAAATAAGATCTAGATAAGATTTTACATTTAATTATATTATTATTTTAGTAGGACGTGGATAGATTAGGATATATATATATATATATATATTCATATGATAATAATGCCTATAAATAAGAGGCAATAGGGTTCCTAATTTCAGACTTTAATTTCAAATGAGAATTACATATTCAAATTTGCTCTCTTCATCTTTCTGTTTCGTTTCTCTATTCCCCTCTCTTTCTCTCTCTTTCCAGCCTAAATTCTATACCAGACAACTTCATTTCTTGATGCAAAAGTTCAGCTTTAACACCATTGCGCCATGTGTTGTTTTCATTATTACCCACTTAGTCAAATGTACACATAGACATAGTAATTACCCTCCCAAATAATTTTATGCTTCATTATATTTATATTGCTCTTCCTTGAACAAATAAAACGAAAGAATCAAGCCCATGAGCTAGAAAAGGCAAAAAATTTTAGTGAAAACATAGCCAGAATTACAAGTCTCCCATTACATCAAAACAAGAATGGCAAGAAAAGGAAAAATATACATGATTAGCATGCTATAATAATTAAAAAGAAGTATATAAATCAATTTTTTGCTCAATTAATATTCTGATGGGCACCTAAGTTGGAGAGGGAACTCTCTCATAAAAGCTAGTTATTAAGATGGGAAAATCAATCTATTTACATGCCCCATACAACATTCCACACTACTCAATGTGAGATTAGGCATCACATACTACTCAATGGAATGATGAGCGGTGTGGAAGAGTATACCCTAGACAAAAGAAACCAACCAAAAAAGATGTTGAAGCAAGCTGTTGTGCAATTACCCTCATAAGGCAGGGCACAGGGAGAAGTGAGAGGAGTATTAGGAAGGGGCGAAGGATCTGAGGGGTATCAAATACTAGGCAGAAGAGGGTGTTTAGGATCCATTTTTGAGTATTATGTTCTTTCTTTCATTTCAGAATCAATGAGAGGTTCCTCTCAGCCACTGTAACAGTCCTTAATCCATCCTTGGAGTAAGGCCAGAGCTTGCCGCATATATAATAGAACACAAGTTCCAAAATATTGCAATTAGGAAGGGCGGTAACATGTCACCATGCTAATCCTTCTATTCAACTAGTGCACAATTTTATACTGCCTTTTCTTCAATCAATTGAGAGGATTGAATGGCTAAGCTATCTCCCGTAAGATTCATACAAGTTTACCCTAGCTTCATCTACTGTACAGGATATTATTAATCTACCTTACACTACAAGATACCAGATAAATGAGAGGTAAGGAAGAAATTCATACCTTGTTATTCTTGTCTTCGGTCTGCAAAGTTGGAATATAGCTTCCATTGGCAACTTCATATGAATTAGTTTGGATGTTGTTACAGAAGAGAATGATTGGATGCTTCTTGACATCGAGTATTCCTGCATTTAGTACCCAATAATAGGCAATGGCATGATTCTTGAAAGGAGAGGTGAAAGAATTGAAATCAAAAACCAGAGCGAACTCTGAGAAAATGCAAGTTTTTGAGAAAAAGATAACAAGAATAGATGAAAATAATTTCCTTAAAACAAATACAAGCGAGAACTTATTTCACAAAAGGCGTTTGTACTTTGTATAGAATGATTGAAAAGAAGATAAAGAATCATTCTTCTACATTAACTGCATGGCACAAACCAACTAAAAATCAACAACGCAGCTTTTGAGCCAAAATTAAAAGCAAAATTGGGAATTTATTGTCTTCACCAACCAAGTATAAAAAGAGAATCAATTTGGATTGCCTAAGAAAGACAATCAAAGGCGTAAGTAACTTTTGCCACAGCAAACACAAAGTTCAACAAAAGGGATGAACAACCTTTGTAGAATTTGGAGCTTCCGAAGAGTGTAGAATAGTAAGGAGTCTGCCCTCTGAGAAAGAGAGTTGAAGAGGCTCTCATTTCGGGGAGGGAGCAACTGCTAATGTCGGAGGATACCAATTCGCGAGTGTTATATGACGCTTCCGCGTCAAGCAGATGATGCGTTCCGGTTTCGAGCACTCTAGGGTACTAGAACAAAGGCAAAAAAATTGATCCATAAAGTTATAAAACATTAAAATTATTTTAATACTCAAAAATTTAAGTAATTATAAATATTACCAATTTTCAACTTAAATTTATAATTCTAAATTCAAGGGCACACAAGTCGGGTTTCATCTCAACTCAGTGCATGGCTTGATGTGGTAGTTTGAGCATTGAACTTAAAATTATATTAAAATAAGGTTAGGCAGGACAAAGTCCCTACCACGATGCCTAACTTAAAATATAAATGGGTTATATTTTGCAATTTATTATCCAACTTTACTCATGAGATGTCCAAACATTTTAGGCTCTATAACCTACTCAAAGGGTGATGGTGTACTCATCGTTTGTGAAATAAAAAAAAAAATTCACTAAATCAAATCTAATAATATTTTAAGAAGCAAATATATTAAATAAATCAATGCACAAATAATAATAGAGTTCATTTTTATTGGCTCTACTATTCTCTATCTTTATTTTTAGTTTAAAAGTTATTTCATTTCAATGTTTATCTTAACATAAAAATTATTTTCAACTTTATTTTTAGATTGCAAACCTTTGTTCCAACCAACAAAATTTATATTTGATAATTAACCAAATATAACTGAAGTCAATTAAATATATATTGAAATTTTAACTTTGAATAAAATTTTTAAAATGTCTTTTATTTAAATTAATATATTTAAAGAGTAAAATAATGAAAACTAATTGTAAAATAAATTGTATTGATGAATCATTATTTTCTTAAAAACACCTTAAACTATAGGACATGAAATCATTATAAAAAAAAAAACAGAAAACACCTTTATAACATGGGGATAGGCTTGTAATTTTAAGATTGAATAATATAGTGGGGGCTTTCTTTTGGGGATACTGAGGAGAGGGAAAACATTCATCTTCTCTATTGGGATAAGGTGGAGTTGGCAAAGCTAAGGGGTGCTTTGAAAATTTAAAGAAGAAAAATGAAGTCTGTATGATAAAACTTTGTTGAATACTTGTGACTCAACCAAATAAGTTATGAGTTGAGGCTCTGGAGGAAAATTATATGTGCAGTCCAGAGAGAATCCCTCAAGCGAATAACAAGAGGAGTGCCTCATCTATATATATAATAAAACAAGATCACCACAAATTGTTGAAAAAATGACTAATACGTGGCTCCTCACTCATATTACTATTCGATTGAACAGTGCCGGCTTGGTTAATAATACCGGCTTGTGGGGCTTTGTGTTGTTTCTTCTTAAGAAAAACATTCCCCCACTTTCATTTCAAAACTCCTCCAACCGATATGCCAATTTTTTAGCCAACAAAATTTTGAGGAATCATTTTGATATTATTTTTTTTGACATTCATCCTGTTGACAGTAAAAATCTTATCACTTTTAATATGATCTGATTTTAATCTTTGACATAGTTTTTTATAACGTGGCTATATATTAAAAAAAAAATAAAACTCCCTCCTTCCTTTCAAATTAAAAAGCAAAAATAAAAAAAAAATGATTACCGTGAGGTGCGTGAATGTCAATTCATTTGAACTCTCCTGCCCTACTCACTGTTCATCTTTTCCCATCATAACGCTCTATTCACTCTTCATTTTTCTCTGTCGACCTTGTCTGCTTTTAACAATGGCGCACACTACTCAATTTCCATGTGATTGTGACGGTGCCTATATGATCTGCAAAAGGGTGCTGGCGGATGAAGAGAAGTTGATGCACAAAACTTGCGCGATGCAATGGCATGTTAGCTGCCTCTTTAATCCTCTGGCCACTCTGATGCTTCTCTAACAAAACTGGAGGAGGTCAAGAAACGTCAGCAACTCATGAGCGAGAAGGCTGGGTTGGAGGAAGACGAAGGTGGCGAGGAGAAGAAGATAGGATGCGAAGGGAAGGATGTGTTGGATATTCTCAGTGGGACTTCGAACTGCTCCTTATGTATGCAGCTCCCCGAGAGGCCACCACGGTAACTTTGCGACTCAGATCATTCTCTATTCTCTATTATGTTTTTCGTTATCACTTCTATATACTCACTGTTCATCTTTTCCCATCTTTAGGAGCCCTCAGCCTCCCTCCTCTGCCTAATATACTCTCTCTCTACAGCCTAAGCTTCTCGCCATCCTTCTCCTCGTTTGTTCTCAACGACAAATCGTGAAAGGGAGGGGAATTATAGGGGATCTTCGGAGAGAGTGGAGTCAATTGGAGATCGATGAAAAATTGGACTCGATTGACAAATAAGGCTGGAGAGATAAACTTCATAACTCGCAGTGGTGAGATCGGGAACAAGAAGAAAAGTGAGGATGAGATTGGTTGTAACTCACATGTCCTTCATTTGCATAGGTAGAAGCACTCATTCCTTTTCTTGAGATCAGCCCAGAAACAAGACTAATAAATTTTCTTTCTCTTACCTCTAACCAATTCTGCTGAGATTGGTACATCTGTCTGACCCTTTCCAACTCTGTGTTAATTATGGTTTTTGTCCATTTTGTGCATTGAGTGAAATATCCTATGAGTTGGCGCATTTTGCAGCATGTCTTGTATTTTACTGTTTCTTCACCTTAATTTCGAGCTGTAATTTCAGGATAAGCTTCTTGGTTAAAATTGAAGTAAAATATTATCTTTACAAGTCAGTAATTTTGAGAAGGTTTTGCTTCTGTGCTAATAATTTTCTTCATCACTTTATGGCAAGTTTGCTCATGAAAGAACCACAAATTTGTGTGCAAAGGTTGGAAACTTTTGTAACATTTATTTGTCAAGTTCAATGGTAAAATTTACCGCCCACACCCTGATTCAGAAAGGTTATTTCATTATTATTATTTTTAAGGATGTGGATGTGAAATTAAAACTGAATAGATGCACTCAAAAGTACATTAAGAATAAGAATAAGTACATCAACTGAATCCTTCTCCAAGTTTCCCTTTATTAAATGTTATTATTTTACTTCTTGCTGACTGATATTTTGTATTTAGCAGGTGCTTTGATTCATTATTCTGTTGGTACATCTATCTCAAAAATTGTTGAAGATACAATGAATGTGTCTCTTACTCATATAAGTAGGTAAGACCAGTACAAGTGACTTGAAATACAATGAATGTGTCTCTTACTCATATAAGCAGGTAAGACCAGTACAAGTGACTTGAAGATGCAGATGTACTAGATGCTTACTTTATCCTTGATAGTAGCTTACATGTTCTGATCTAACTTACATTAAAAGGAGAATGGATTGTAATTAATGACATTGTCTTATTGAAAATTGTACTCAATGGTTAATATTGTAAACCATTGTGTTAATGTTCCTTTCATACACTTGCGAAAAAGGAAGAATGAAATGTATCTATATAGAATAATTTTCTGAGGCTAAACCCCGTAGGAGACCATAAAATCATATTTGTCTTCTTCCCTCCGTCAATTGATTTTAGATTGTTCGGCATGTAAGATTTTGATTCTCCTTTCAGTTGATATGTCTTCTTATCCCTTAAAATCTGTTGCCATCAAATTGTTTTCTTCCTAGCCAATTTGTAGGGTGCAGAGCAACTTGTATAGGGTCTGAAGATATGGAAAAATGTATAGTTAAGGTAGGTAGTTGCTTGCTAATCAATCAATCATTTCACTCCCTTAGCTTTTGAAATCATTAATTCCTTTTTGTTTTGCCAACTTCCCTTGGCATTTTATTTTGTTTCACTTGCCTTTTTGAGTTGAAAATAAAGTTATTTGCTATGTATATTCGTATAGCAAGAAGGCATCACTTGGTTTGTTCTCTCTCACTTTAATATCTTTTGATTCTTATATCTTATTTCTGATTTCTTAAGGACACCAAGATAAGGAAGAATGAGGTGTATTACTAGATGTTGTCTTATCATGACTTATACTTATTAGTAAATGTTAAAATCAAATATGTATTCCTTTCCCTTGTGAAAGATGTTTTCCTATGTACTATACTGAAACGAATTGCTTCGTCACAGATAATTTTGGATTTCTTCATCTAAGGCTAGCAAACAGATTCAAGCGGAGATGGGATATGAGTTCACAGTAGTGGTATAGATTGTTGTTTAATGAAGTAAAGTTGCAAGTCCCAGATGGCAATGTACCATTAGAGAACTTATTTGCCTTACAATCCTGACTGCAGACATTTTGAGAAAGGTATTAGAAAGGAAAAAACAGAAGACGTGGTAATAGTCTTAGCTAAGGTGAAGTTGAGTTTTTTGGTTTCTTCTTTTTTATTTTTCTCTGTCAATTAAAACTTGGCATGCCTGGGCCCAAGAGCAGTTGCGTATGTATAACAGAAGTCATTGATTTCTTGCAATTGATTTGTATGGACGGACTTGATAACTTTTTGGGAGTTCTCCTTTGATATTTATATGCCTCCGGTTTATTGATGTATTAGTCTGCATCAGAGACTTTGTATAGATGTGGCCTCATTCATCTCCCATATAGTATGTCAAAAACAATAAAAATTGGAATTTTGATAAGACTTAAAGTTGACAGCCCATTGAACCATGGGATTTGTTTAACTTTCCAATAATATGTATTTAGAATGCTAGAATCGAGAAATAAGGTTTTGCATGCAATTTGTTATGACTTTGAATGAGCAACTATTGCATTTTTCATGGTTACATCAAGAAACCCACTAAAAGTTATAAAATAAAGAAAAGAAAAGCATAACAAGTAGTTGAGAGAGTGTGCACATGTATTTTCAAGTGTGCGTTTGGTTTTCATTTTGTTAAAAGTTCATTTGGTAAAAATTCATTTGGTAAAAGTCAGTTTCATGAAAGTCAGTTGTTGTAACGAAATTTGTGTTTGAATATATTTTTTCAAAAATCAGTTTGATACATTAAAAGTTATTTGGTTTGTGATAGTGAAATGTGCTTTTGAATGTACAATTACCAAAAAGGACATTGATTTATAATGATTTATTATTTTTATTATACAAATGTAATAAAGATTATAAATAACATAAATTTTGATCTATAATGCTAAAAATTTGATCTCTAATTATTTGTACTTTTTAATTTGTAATTTTAAAAGATATAATAAAGATTTGTAATTTTTATTATACATTAATGCTAAAAATTAACATGATTAATTACTCAATTTATAATACTAAAAAAATTGATACCTAATTATTATTATTATTATTAAAATAATAATTATATTTTTAATGAATTAACTATTTTTTAAATAAAAAATAAGAGATTAAACTTAGGGTAGTATGGTCAAATAACATCTTACTTTTCAAATTCACTTTTCAAAAGCTTCAAATAGTTATGTTTCAGAAATCCACTTTCAGCTACTGTTTGAATGTACTTTCAGGATGTGCTTTCCTGCAAAATATTCTACCCAAACAACTTTCAACTTTTTAAAAGTGAAATTTTGCTTTCTGAATGTGAAACGGAGGAAAATTAAACGGACCCCAAGTTTTCTTATGGTGTGATTGTTTCCAGCTGCAAGTAATGCTTGAAATATTCAATCTTCAACTTTTATGGTCTCAGGGAAAGCTATTATGCAAAAGCTTCTAACTAGGGAGAATTCACTAGAGGAAGATGCTATAGCAACACTGTTAATTACTGCAGGCAAGGTAAGCATTTTATTTTGTCTTTACTTGGTTGTTTCACTTGCCTTTTGGGCTGGAAAATAAAGTTACCTAGCATGACTTGGTCTATCTTCTTTCACTTTAATTAATATCTTTGTAATTCTTGTATCTAATTTCTGATTTCTTAGAGATACCATTTGAGAAGAATGGGGTGTATTAATGAAGGTTATCTTATCGTGACTTATACTCATCAGTAAAGGTTAAAATCCAATGTGTATTCCTTTCCCTTAAAAAGGATATTTTCCTGTCTAGCATGTATAAGTAGATTTTATTTCTTTCCATCAATGCTGCCAATCTCATGACTTGGAGGTGAGATGTTGCTGATTTTGATGCAGAAGAGAAAAAAGTGGTGAGAGGAAGAGGAATAGAAAAATTTTGAAGAAGGACAGGTAGTGGCAGTGGCAGAAAAAGATCAGCTTTTTTAAGGTGAGAGAGAGAGAGATCTTAGATCATGGCTTAGCATGAGCTCCCCTATCAACATTATTTTTATTAGGAAATGAAAAAACATATGCTGAGTTATATGGCTTAGCATGACTTGAAGCTGAGATGTTGCTGATTTTGATGCAGGACAGAAAAAAGAGGCGAGAGGAAGAGGAAGAGAAAAATGTTGAAGAAAAGGACAGGTGGTGGCAGTGGCAGAAAAGATCAGCTATTTTTGAGGTGAGAGAGAGATCTTAGATCATGGCTTAGCATGAGCTCCCCCATCAGCATTATTTTTATTAGGAAAGGAAAAAAAACATGAAAAAAAAAATGTGCTGAGTTATCTGGTTGCTCTAAACATATTTCCATTTTCATTATTCTTTTTTTTTTTTGGGTAGTTGGTATAGCATCATTCAAAGTTACTCTATTCGGTCCTATTTATAAGACACTTTTTAGAAGTAATTTTTAGTTCAAAATATAAGATATTTTGTAATAATTAAACCATTTTTTTAATTTTACTTTTTCATGATTACCGTGAAAGTGTTTAATATAGTTGTATCCTTATTTAAAATTAAAGGTAAAATTGAAAGTATATGTCACTTTTTTATGCAAGAAAAAAAACTAACTTTTCTTAAGATGTATAGAACAATTAAAGCATATAATAAAGATCGGAGGGAGTATCATTTTTACCTTGAGTATGGCAGACCAGGTATCCGATCAAGATTTCATGAATATTGTGCAAAAAATAACCATAATGATAGAAAGAGTTTTTATTATTTCTTTGGTTTTAAACATAGGTTATGCTTTGTTTACAACTGGCCTTTTAAATAGAGGTAATATTTTGTTTGTCGCTGACCTGATTTAAAGTAAGTTTAATTTTATTATTTCTTAACATATTTGCTCCTTTCATGATTACATCAATTAAATGTTTTATTCAAAGTAGTTTGACAGTAATTAGAAGCATGAAGTTTCATGGCCATGGTCATTTTGAAGCCCAACTGCTCAGTCCTAATAACCAAACACACCATACATATCCAACTATCCTTCAGTTTATCGTTCCTTGAGCATGTGGTGGAGGTTTTGATTCCTCACTCATATAAATGGAGAGCATTTTATAGCCAGTCGTTTGCCCCTTTGTGGAAGACCTCACGGTGAAGGGATTAATCATTACTATTGATAGTGGATACCTTGAGCAATCGAAAAAAAAAATTTAAAAATGATTTGTATATATAAGGTTTGTTAAAGGTTATCATGCTACTTGACCTCGTACTTTTTTATTATATATTTGTTTATTTAGACGGGAAAAGGGGGAGGTTGTAGGGGTGACTTTGAAAGCTGGGAGATGTGTTTTAATTTTGATTTTGTTGAGTCTTTTCATTTCTTTTTTTCCTCTGATTTGTTCCTTTTTTTAAGACCCAAAATAAGTTCCATTCATCATTTTAGGCATGAAGCAAATGCTATATTGTTTAAGATTTTTTTTTATTAATTTGTTAACTTAGTGCCAGAATTTTTATATCATCTCTATTGATAAATTTCTTTGTAATTAGCCTTATTTTCAATATCTTAAGAAGCTCTTTTTTAAGTTTTGTTCCTTCATTTTTGATGGTATTGTAAGTATAATCATGGAGATGAGAAAAAAATTATTAATTGTTTCCTATTTTTACATATACAAATGTTTAAGTCATATTTATATCGTTAATTCGTTATCATAAAAAATTTCTCTGGACATCCCAACTGCTTACCTAATTTATCATAATACTATTACTTTTCTTATATAATTTGTATAAGTACAAAGGTTAATGAATTAAAATAATTAATTAGGACATTATTGTTCCACTATTAATCATAATGTATGGGCTTTTTGTGCACGGTGCGGAGGATTATAAATTGATTGTAATTATTAGGGAAAAGAAGTTCAAAATGAAGAGAAGAATGGATATAGACAAGTTCAATGTTAAGAATATAACCACTCTGTTTCAATTAAATTTTATTTATTCAAGCCTTTATTTATTCGTGGCTATTATATATTGCTTTTTCAATAGTAAGAAGTATTAAGGGAATGAAGATTTTGTTGCATGATAGTAAAAATAGGTATAAGTTTATCACTATAAATTATGAATGTAGTCTATATAAAAGTGTTCAAAAAATGAAAACAAGTAATGTTTGACATATTATTTCATATGTTAACATATGTGGCATGAACAATGAGCATGTGGTTGTTAGCCTATTTGTATGAAAATGAATAATTTTGTAAATATCTATGTGATGTAATAAAGTTAATGCATCTTGCGCATCGCACGGGAGTTAATGCTAGTTTGTTAAAGTACAATAAGTAAAGTACAAACTTGGTAAAACTATATGAATTAAATAATTAATTTTTTAAAAAAATAATAATTTATTAATAAATTTATTTCAAAATTAGTGTTTATTATTTTACTATTTAAATATATTTATTTCTCTAAATGAAAAATATTTTTAAAAATTTGTAAAAAGTTAAAATTTCAAACTATATTTAATTAATTTCAGTTATATTTGGTCAATTATTAAACTTAGATTTTGTTGGTTCATATTGAGATTTGCAATCTATCTCTTCATTTGGATGAGAAGAAATTTGGAAAGAAAAATAAAAGGAAGGAAAAAAAATGAAAAAAAGACAAAATCTGAACGGAAAACATTATCACTCTTTGTTTTTAGATGGATAATAAAAAAACAGGGAGAAAAGGAAATGAGCAAATATTATAATGAATATAATACCCTTATGTTACAGTATAATACTTTTATTTCTATCTTTATTAAAATTATTTGAAGGCAAAAAATATATCAAAATTAATATTATTAAAGTAATTAAAATGAAATTATTAAATATATTTTAATGTTATTATATTTTAAAAATATATAATTTAACAAACTTTAATTTCTATTTTAAAAATTTTAAAAAAAGTTGTTTTCTATTTTTTAAGTTTATATTTAAAAATTTTATTTTTTTTATCATTTTCAAAGAAAATGTTGAGTTTTTGAAGTTTTACGCAAGACTGCATCTTGTTTTTGGCTTCAACGTAGTCGTTGTATTATTTTTTATTTGTATTCCTGCATTCAAATATATTTATCTGCAGAAAGAAATAATAATATTCAATTTTATCATTTTACATATTTTTCCAGGCACAGATGTAATTAACAAGAGGAGAGGGTGGCCAAGGAATTCTCTAGGGGAAGATGAAGATGATGGTAAAGCCCTAGAGCAGAAGCGAAGGGCAATGTCAAGAAGGAAGTTTTACTCTCAAAATCTTTTCATATGTAGATAGAAAATTGGGGAAGAAAATATAATAGGTCTCATCCTCTATATTGAGACAAAAATTAAAGGGTAAATATATATTTTTGCTCATAAACTATTTTTTAAGATGCATGTAGTGTCTTAAACTATTTATTGTAATATGTTTGTGCCTAAATTAATTAAAATGTAACATTTTTTACCCTAATCTTAAATACCCACAAACGTCTCATAGGCCTCATTTTTTGTGAGTATTTAACTAACAGGCATTTATGAATATGTAACGTCATAGTAGAAAATTTATGGACTTGTTTTTTTTCTTAAATAATACTTGATTACAAATCCTTATTTATGAATAAGTTTTTTATCAGGTTTTTGAATATGATTCTCCCTTTTCCATATTTATAACAACGTTTGAATCCTCATTCTTTTGGGCTTGCATGCTTGATAGTAATTTTTTACCAGGTGTTCAACTTCATGTGTAATCTCAATCACGCTAGCAATGTGGGCCACGTCATTCTCGCCCACAGGGGAAACTTCAAACCTTTAATGGATAAGGTTGATTGTTTTGCTCAAGATATTCTCCATGTGTTAGGTTATTTTACTTTTGTTTTGATCGAGAGGCAGCAACTGCAATAGCCTGCTGATTTTTTTTTTTTTTTTCTATAATTGTCCTATTTTATTTACGTTTAATTTGTAAAACTTCTTTTTATGCTAATATATTCATTTGACTTTCTTTAAAAACAGTAATTAACATTAGACTTTTTTTAATATTTTGTTTGAATGTTGAAAAATTATTATAATAATTGTGATTGATATATCAATAATATCTTATTCCTTTCACATTTTATTAAAATGTAATATGAATATGAATTTATGTATTGGAAATTTTGTAGTTTAAATTGGATTTATATATTTCTTTTTTACTTTTGATAAATTTGATCATATATTTTTGGAAAACAAGGGGTCATCGATTCAAATTTCCCTTGATTCTTTTCCAAAATTGACCATCGTTGACCACCTCACCAGCATCAAAACTTCAACTGTGGCCCAACCACTAATATGGTGATGGTCTATCTGCCGGCAACAAAGTTCCAATAACAGTGAAGAGATTTTTTTTAATAAAGCAAGATCATTTCAGTAATTGAATGATAAAAATCAATTTAAATTAAGGATCTTGTGCATGCAAGAAATTTCACAATCATTTAAGCCTAACATGCAATTATTGTCTTTGAAGGGGCTTGGCTGATATTCTCCCTTTTATTTATTATTTGATAAATACAGTGGGCTACATTTCTGCACCCATAATTCCCGAAAGACATGGTGAAAGTTGATTGTCCAAGCTAGTCTTCCTTTAAGAGTAATGACTACATGCATTTGAACATAATTACTAGCAATACCCCGAGAACCATGCACCATTAACTTTAACTTTTTGTGAGTCAATTTTTTTTTAAATTTTTCTTCGTTATCTCCATCCAACCCAAAAATAACTGAGTCTCTTATAACTTGTCCTACATGGCACTAATAGCAATTAACAGTGTTGAAAATTATTGAGTTGGCGCTCAGATAAGAGCCACACAAGAAATGTAGTTTAAATTAAATATGTTGAAAAAAATAAATGATTAAATTAGAGTAACTTTATAAATTTTCTCACATAAATTTATGGGCAGTGCTAATTGAAAAATCAAAACTTACTTTATCCATTATATGGGCATAATGTTCCCATGTATGGCCACACTAATAGAACAATGTTTATACTGCTAATGTCTCAATTTGATGAAATCTAAATGGAGCACTGTAACATTATAAAATTTTTAAGACCTGAATTTAATTTAAAAAATATATATAATTAAATTAAAAATAAGAATAATTTGATAAAAGTTTAGAGTTCAAATTCTACTAAACAAAAGTTAGGTTTTATTTTGTTTTTAATTATAAAAAAATTATTAAAGTTGCCTTAAAGCTTTTGTGTTATAATAAAAAGATTTGGACCCTTCCTTATAATTTTTCCTAATTTTTTAGGATAAGTTTTTAAATAGAAAAGCACGTAGAAACAAAACAAAGAGCAAGAAATAAAGGAGAAAAACAAGAATGGACAACAGAGTGAGAGGAAGAAGAGAGGAGAAAAATAGGGAGTTAAGGCTTGGATTTTAGAGGCTTTGTGGCAGTTGCTTTCTTTGTTATGCAATAGGTAATGATAGGGGACGCGGAAGCAGAATCGTGCTAATTTAGGGATAGAACCCTGAAACAACAAAAACACAAGAACAAAAAGAAAGGAACGAAATTTATGATGAAAATAAAGAAAGGTATGAAGTAAACAATATGATAATGATCAAGGAGAAGATCCTCTAGAACACCTGCCTCTAGGAACCTCAACTTTCGAAGACACCACAAGAGTTGATCACGCTCTTAATCACGTCTGTTTCTCACACGGGATGCCACCACAAAGCACTAAGGCTCACAAGAGTTATAAACTCTAAAATGAATAATTTCATTCAACTTCTGTGTTCTTTACAATAGGGAGCATGCCTAATTTATATAGGCTCATAGAAAAAAAATATTTCCTAAAATTAAAACCCTAATTTCCTAATACTAAAAGGAGAAATAATATAAAATAATGATAAAATATTCAGCCACATAATTTAGGAGATGTGATCCTAAAATTATGGGATTACAAAATTTAGAAATTAATACTATAATTAATTCTAACCTTTGACTAGACTCAAAATAGAAAATCAAATCAAATGACCATTAAAATAGGAAATAATTTAGGAGACAATCAAGGGATCATAAAGATTTAAAATCACGCCACCCTTGACTTCTTTACTAGGGTTTCATGCCTCCTTGCTTGCAAGAGGCTCAACTTATAGTCTTCCTTGCATTGGGCTAAGGTCTGCATCTCTTGGGCTTGACTCTTCATGAGTTTGATCTTAAATACATTATACACGTATAGATGCTCTCCTTTGGGCTTGAGAGGAGTGCCCCAATGCTCTCCAAGCTCTTGAACTTCTTGCACAAGACTGAACAAGCTTGCTTCATGGCTTTAGTTCGGGCTCTTGTCATTGGACCTCCAATATGTTGTAATGGGTCTTTAGGTACGTTGGATTGGAAGTATTGGGCTCCTTCTATGTCACCATGCTCATGATTACCATCCTCAAGCTTCATTGCCATTAATGCTATGTCACCCGTGCCATGGGGTCCATCATTCCCTCCCAGTTAGAAAGGATTCGTCCTCGAATCTGCAGAA